GACTTTCTCAACTTATCCGTTAGGCTGCGAGGGATCACGCAAACACTTTCATCATCCAATCAACACCAGTGATTTGTGCAAAGATAAACCGTTTCACGATGAAGGACTATTTTCAAGCTTGAAATTGATCGAGCAATAATCACAAAGTTAAAAAAAGTGAATGTACAACGTGTTATTTGATTCCTTTGTACCAACTCAGTAGAAGAACTGCCAGGAAGAAGACATCGGAGGGCTGGGCAAAACATTTCCGGATACACAGTAAACGTACGCGATGCAGATGACCGGGCCAGAAAAACGTGAACTGTATTCTATGGTGAATTTGTTTCAGTGACTGCAACTCACAGGATAAGTTATCAACAGCCGAACACAGCTCACAAGTCATAAGGATCGCTATTCCACATTGATGCACCATAACAACGCATCTGGACATGTCCCATTTCTATGGCGATTTTCTGGTTAGAGAACGCAACCAGGAGGTTGGTCACTTTAGATTCCAGACCTGGATCGTGTGACGTTTCTTTATGTTCCAAAGTGTCAAGGGAGTGATGGATAGAATCCAATATGATTCACCAACGAATGCCCTCGTATTATTAAAATATTTCTGTTTCATAGTAATTGAAGGATTCAAACGACTGGAATAGAAACCCTTAACATCGGGCAACCATACTTTATCAAATTAAATTGGAATGTTTTTGAGATGTTCGACACTGTTGTCTGTCGTCTCATCTCAAATAGTTACCAAGAATCATTCATAAGAGTCCAATTTTTCTTCACTCCAAAACTCAAACCAAGACCCAAGTGACTTTAGTGAAGTAGACCGGTTAGAATTGTTATCTGTACGAACAAAATTCCCCTGTCGCACTTTTCACCCAAAAGTTTTCAGAACACACAGATCGTTTGGAAAAATGTCTTCAACATAAATCTGCCAAATGCATAAACAACTGTACCGCAAAGTACGAGACTGGGGTTTCGCGCACATGAGTAAGCAAACAGCTTTCTCCCAAGTACAAAAAACTCATTGACCACGTTGCTCTTATTTTTGACTAACTTTCTGTAGGCACCGTGTTAAGGGTTAAATGCAAGACCAGTCCGGATAAGATTTCAGCAGCTTTCTGGTGCTTTTATTCTGCCATTATGCAGATCTTCCCCACTCGAGTATCATGCATTTAACATGGCTGAAATAGGTGAATTCACAGAGAGTGAAAAATCGCATAGTAAAATCATAAGACCGCCAAACGCAATGTCTCGTGCTTGCAAAAGTTCGACTGAGCTAATCCAAGTATAGCATTCTAAGCCAAATTACTTTCGTGCTATCTGGCATCAATTCTTCCCCCTGACGCCGACGCTCACGCTCATTAGACAAGGCTGACTACATCTAAGAAGACCTGCATTCATTGCTTGCAACTGTCCTTAAACTGAACACAGAGGTGAACAAGCTACTATTTATGTTAAAGGTCTAACCACTACCACTCCGCTAAGGTAGGTCTGTGTTATCCGGCCAAAATCAGCTCTTGCTTGAATGTATTTTGATATGAATTACCGCTCAATACGTCAAGATCAAATGCGCTAATATTGTTACCGGCACATTAAACTATCGTGATTGTGGGCATCCTCTTCAGTTCCAAATTATGTCAATGCGTTGACACGCAGAGTCAGCGTGTATCACTCATCACCGGACAATCTTAGAAACATCGTATAGCACTTTCTTCTGATACGTTTGAAATTCTTTACGGTTTACAACCACTATCCTCCTCTGCAGTTTGATATGAAAAAGGATCGTTAATCCAATTTACTAACAGCTTAGATTATTGAGGGAGGGCCCAGTTCTCAACGGCATAATACATATCCACAATAAATTACAGCCTTCACATGTCACTATGGCCCAGTCTACCAGACTTCACCAGACAATGAATCCCGATGAATTCCATAAAGACACACAATTAAATCTCTCACAACAATGATGATAAAGCTACACGGCGCTTTCAGAAATGTTCGCTAACAAATAGCTCTTTTACCAGAGGTAACAGGTAAATCCTCGATAGAAACATCAGATTGTCTAAACCATTTCACGTAAATTAGTAAAAAATGTTCCCGAAAAGCAGTGCCATGATCAGTCTAGGCTGCAGACAGATTGATGTAATACCATTCGATTGCTGTGGTATACACTCGTATTTCATCTCAAACCAGTTTATTCAGGGCACTGACATCTGCCTCGCGACAGTCCTCTCTTTTCCAGTCGTTGGAGTGTGCATTTTTGGCAGCATCACCGTCTCCCTAATCATTCCGGACTAAAGAATTCTGAGTGTTTATTTACTTCGAATGATCCGGAATATCTTTAGAAAATTTCATCCTTCTCCATCTTTCTTCACGTGCTTCTAATAGCAGAAATCACACTTCTCATATTGCGAGCATCACTATATGCTAGTGCAATTTTAAACGGAAAACAAAATAGTCCGTAAATAACGATCAAAGTTTAACAAATTTGATCAACAGGACTGTACACAAAACGTGCGTCGGACAGATTAACCGTCCATCTGCAAACCGAGCAACCAAAGACAGAAGCAAAGCAGTGAAGAAAGTTAGGAACACAGGTGAACAGGGTAGAATTTGTTTGTGTATCGGTTGATATCTTAATAACACACAGGTTGGTTATTTCGTCCCGATGCAGACTGGCGGACAAGAAAAAAACAAATGCGGAAGATCACGTGATGAATTGCACGGGAGGAAGGGATTGAACCATAGGCCAAGGGCTATTCACATCATGCGGTTGAGCCCAACCGGGACCCATTAGGTTACAGCCGTATGCAGGTTGTGGGGGTATAGCTGATTGAAGAAAAAACATAGTACTCATTGCGTCCGCTTTACCCATAGATGTTGTCACATTGTTCATGGAAGCTGGTATTGTATCAGCCCATGTTGGAGTCATTTGTACGGGTGTTTCTTGACCTACATCACAAGGAGCACGGATCATAGGTGGCCAAGTGGGGACCACATTTGGAAACACAACAGGTGTTGTGACTTGAGGAATCGCGTACGGGACAGGTGGCTTAACCGGAAATGTTAATCCGGATATCGAGGTGTTAATCGATTGTACGAATGGAGGTGGACAGCAGACACCATTGAGAGTAGATGGTCGTATTGATGAGGAATCCGTGGATGGATTCATTCCGGTCAGCATCATGTGGGGATGGGAAGCGCACTGAATAGAGTTCGGTGGTGCCACCGCATTCAGGGAATTCATTTTAGATGTGTGATTACTTGGGTGTGTCCGGCCAAAATTCGCAACTGGATCGTTTCGCACCTGAACGTACATAGTAGAAAGACTTGGTTGAGGATTAGAATGTTGGCTAGGTACTCTGTCTTCGGGATAATGTGATTCGACAACATTCCCAAACCGAGGCGTGTTGTCTGTGGGCATAGTTGGGAGTATGTCACAGTTCGAGACCATTGATGTTTGTGGTAGGATTTTCGGAATGTTCTTCTTCGATCCAGTTTTGGTAAATTGCTCCGGAGCTGGTAGGGGATTCTTCAATTTAGTCCACATTGTTAGTGGAACTGAGTGTCCTATAAAAAGGTGAAAGCACGTTAATAAATAATTATTAGGTTGGTGATACCAGCCTCTCTATTTACGCAATACTGAACCATAAGAAAGCCGTTCTATTTAGTAAATTCGTGTATTGTAATACATGTGGAACAGCTCACGCTCTTCCATCCCATGGCAAGTAGAACGGTGTACTGAACTCACCCACCAAATGCAATGTGCACGGCCGTGTAAAATATAAGCAAGATTTTACTCACCAAATTTCCTATTGGATATTCCGTTTAGTATCTATTTGGGTAGCAAAACCTTGTGATGATAAAACCCCAAAACAAAACAAAAACCATTAGTCAGAATGGCAATACACTTCCGATCCGATAAATCCTATTCACCTAAATACCCCGAACGAGCATCCGTTTCATTCCACTGGCTTTAACTCATTTTTGCGCTTATAAAGTAGCCATTATTTGAATTGATTATCTTGGAAAATAAACAGACAAACTTATGCCAGCCAGAAAACTGGATTTACGTGTAAATATACGCAGCCGCATTCCACAACAGCCAGTCAGCCTATATTTATCGTTACACATTTAACCTAGAACACATATGCAAAACAATATGGTACCCAGTCTTTTATTCATAACATGAATGAAATGAGACGGCATTAAGGAAATAAGGCTACAAACCGAACTCAACCAGTGGCCATATCCGCTTTTGTGCCTGATTCAAATTTCAGATTTCACGTTTAACTACTCGTGAGTAGTAGATTGGCATAGATATCTTTTCTAACCATCATGCTCGACCCTCAGTTGACTGAAAACTGTGGTTAATTTATTCTTACTTGGTTCTGATCATCAATTACCATAAATAAGGCGTTTTTTTATCTGTAAAGATAAAATTCGTTGGACTGTGCACAATATTTTACATAAATAGGTTCAGATGTCTACCCAGAAACTAGATTGTCACAATTTGATTTGTTCCGTACCGCCGAATAAACAAAGCAGTGTAAATGAAAATACGCTTACAGTTTCTGTTTGAATCAGGGATCTGATTTACTGATATACCCGTTCGTTTTCCCTAAGTCACATTTTAAAGGAAATAAATGTAAATTTAACGGGTCGAAAAAGAATTATTAAAAATGTTTATGAACCTGTGGTGTTGAATACACTAACTAGGACGTTAGCTTTGTTCAAATTATATTAGCGTCAATGGGCTTCAATCCCAAGCATACAGGTTACCTACACCTAAGCGCGGTTGTCCCAGTCTAACAACCTGATCTGAACAAGATGGTTAGTTGACTTCCCTTTCTTTTAGTATGCTGGCTAGGCTATGGTGAATAGACTGGTAATACAAACACTGATAGAAATTGAAAACAGAAGAGGTTTCTTCCAATGTAAACGTTGCGTTATCGTACCGTGTGTACCCCAAATGATCGATCTCTCTGTTTGTAATGCTGACGCATAATTTTGTTCGCATCATTGGGTGAATCAACCATGAAAACTATCTTAACATGACAGACATGAAGTTGAATTTTAAACTTTGGTTTGACTACCAGATAAACAATAGGGAGAGATTCAAAACGTACCATTACTTTCAGGCTGTACTAGTCGTTCCCGATCAAGGACTGGAGGTCCCAAGTATTGATTGTGAACCTGAGAAATTGGCTGTTTATCCGTAAAATCCTAGAATGAATAATAAACGTGAGAGTCAGCATTAGAAGGGGTTGCAGTGAAGCAAATGTTAGTGCTCACTTATAAATTTACTGAAACATGGTTATTTTATTCCACAAAAACGATATCGTGGAAGGGATTTACAGTTTTTCCCCATTGGCCTGATCATTTTTAACCAACGAATTGTAATCCTCTTGCTACACATGTAGGTATCAGCATGTTCGTATTCTCAAACAATTTAACATTTCCCGGAAGCGCATAGTGAACTGTCGACGACTTCTAGATGAGTTAGCTTATAGCCGGGGAACAATTTGTTAGACTAGTACCTGTTTGGTACATCAGCTTACCGTATGTTGCATTTGTGTGCACAGTTTAGCTGATATCAACCATAGAGCGATTTGCCTCGATTGCCCCGTGTGAAATTTGGATCTACGAGCAGACTTAAGTGGATCGCCTTGCAACCAACAACTTAGTTGAGAACACACCGTTTATCGGTCACCAATATATCAAAACTGAACCTGGTAATTATCTGGGACAAAATTCCTCCAAGTTTTGCGTATCAGTCAACAACCCGCGAACGGTTTTATAAACAGCGTTAAATGTACGGTGACCTATCAGACTCGCTTACCGCGTAATGCGCATTACATTGGATCAGTGAATCACGGGTAATGGAGTTGTCTAATCCGCCCACCCACAACTGACTGACCAGCCGTTAGGATCGACAGAGGTATATTATGCGCAAAGTATTGAAATTCGGTTCTCGTAGCTTTGGTGAACTGAAGTCCAGTTCATCTATTCGTCGAGTTTGGCAAATTGTTTGCAAACTGTTCATCACCAACCAAGGTAACATCGTCAGTGCTTGTGAAGTGACCTTTTTGGTGTTTGTGTCTTGGAGTAGTTCTTTAGCTTTTTGAATGTGGCCGCAGTAATTTGTCCACTTCGGAAGACACTTCACAAACGCTGACAATGTCACCTCGCATAAGGATGAACCGTTTGCAAACAAATTGCCAAGTTCGGCGAACAGGCGAAATGAAATGCATTACGCTCAATTGCGGTGACAAGCGTATAGCCGATAGGCAGTGCGCGGATTTGACGAGCGGAGCACCTCAGGTGTAACGTGCATTGTGAAATCATCTGTACAACCGAACTAAAACTACGCCTGCTGCAGCAATGGGCAATCAGCCCGAAGGTCGTGCGTGCACTTAAATCTCAAAGCTGAGGTGCTGATTTTTTCCCATCCTTCGTTTGCTTGACGAGGACCTACTGTTCTCTCGTCGAAACTGGAAACCTAAACCCTGGGACTTGGAGTGAGAAACTAAATAAGGCCCTATTAGCATAGGTGTGGTATAAAGCCGGAGGGAAGCCAAACCGTCTACCACTGAAGTTGGGTGGTTGTGGTACCGGGGTTCGAACCTCGGACCTCAGAGTCAAAGCTAATTGGCAACAGTAGCTCAAACTGATTGACATCCGCCTCGACCTTGAAAAATAAATACTTCGACTGGTCCATGATGAGTCGAATAGTGAAAACAATCATAAAATTGCAATAAAATTGCCAGGCAGAGAGCGGAACTCTTTGTTGCATCGATGTCTGAATACCGGTCTTATGCAAGAAACGATAATGGCCTCAATAACGAAAGCGTGGACCGGTTACTTACTTGCATACACAGAAGTGCCGGTGGAATATCCGTTGAGGAAATTTTCATTTCAGGACTGAATGTACCAATAGAATACGGGGAAATCATTAGGCAGTTTTATGGCGAAAATATAAACATCTAGAATTTTAAACGAAAAATCAGCATTCTCCTATAAGATCACTTCAATGGTAATCCTGTATCTGTTGTTCTTGCATTCGTAGACACACAAACTTGGAAATGAATAAATTTCATATTTATACATATGTAATCGGTATAATATTTATATATCTAAAATGAATATAAACTCTTAGCGCTGGTCGACTGTATGATCAAGCACACTGAGATGAATTCAAACGTGCCATCAGTTTGAGACGAGTTGCACTGAGCCTCGCACCCCACCCCATCCCCCCCTCCTGCGCTAGGACAACATTGAAAATNTTCAATATTTCTGCGATCGATTTGAATTAGACGCAATGGCTATTAGTCTGACTGATTGTCACGAAAAGCTAACTGAATAGTCTTTTTCTTTTTTGATTGTCCATAACGCCTCTAAATTTATTAGAAGACCTGTAGTGCTTTGTTTATTACACAGCAGTCGGAGCGAACCCCATACTCACAAAGACCTGCTGTTCAGTGATAGTACCCGGTAACCTAAGCCTCGGGGCTTGGAGAGGTGAACGACATAAGGCCCCGCTAGCGCAGGCGTGGTATAGAACCGGGCGACAGCACAGTTGCCTACCACCAAAGTTGGGTGGCGGTGGCGGGGCTCGAACCTCGGACCATAGGATCCAAAGCAGGCCGGTGACAGCGACTAAACCGACTAACTGTGCTTGCGCACATTGGCATGAATTGCATTTCATTTAGTTGGATGTGAACTCCTGTACTCATAATTTGTAGTTTTGACGCTTTCATAAATTTAGAATATAGTATCCATAAGATAACAGAGGGTTCAAGCAATTGAGAAATTCGGCATCCCACTCCCCTCACACTTGCGTCCTATTTATGAACTTGTGTTATAGGTGTCAACTAACTACAGTGATTCCTGACCAAGTGAATAAGATGATATAAGGTCTGATGTCGGCATCATTTCGGTTCCCGATTTTCCAGCTGAGATAAAAAAAGAAACTGTTTTCAAATCTGTTATGAATTTAAAAGAATTCCGTTCACGAAAACTGGCTCAAAACAGTTGTTCCTCTAAAAGCAACATGGATTGGACCAAGAACTGAACTTCATCTACAAGGAAAAACCATTTGTTCTTGAGCAACGCAGCCTCTGAACTCTACACTCCTCGGTCACTACCATAATCCCCCCCTCCGATTCAGCAACAACAGAGAGAAGCAAAAAGTTAGCAATAAATACCTATCCCCTTCGTGGTGGTACAGAGAGAAAACTCACCAGTCAGTCGCCTCCGTAAATCGATTGTGTGTCGACAAATTCAGTGGACTTGAGCACAATACGGTTTCCGCTTTCTTCCACTCAAGCTTTGGTTCCCGCGAGTCAAGTGGTGTCAGCGGTTGGATGCAAGCATCAGATTCCGAAACACGAGGTTCCATCTTCTTTTGACTAGTCGAATCTAGTGGCAATCTCATAGGCAGATTCTGACGGGATCTAATAGCGCACTTGCGTTTTCTTGCCAAATGGAGAATCTTAAACTTTCCGTTACTCCTTTTTGCCAACTTCAATTTCGGAATGAACTTGGATGTATTTGTAACTGTACAGGATAGCTGATCTTTTCCTTGGCGGTTGGCAATACGATTAACGCAAGGATTTGTACCCTTTGAAGATGGCAAATTGTGTTCAGCTTTTTTAGGTAATGTGTCGCGCAAAGGAAGAGTCTCTCGACCGGAATCGATTATTGGCTTCTCTGGTACCTGATTGGTGGAAGCAGAAGGCAGGAGAAATTAGTGAAATAATGAACTGGTTATTTAAAACTTCCATGGCTTCTGTCGAAAAAAAAGACTGTTCGAAGATAATCCAATGATGTTTTCAGTCCTGTTCAACTAAATCATATTCGGATAGATAAATCCCGTACGGAGAGAAAGGGCCTCGGAAAAGAAACTATCTTTATCAAATTTCACCCATAATTTAATACAAAAATACTGCTTCAGAATTCGAGCTGATAAATTCTATGGGGATAAAGCCATAGTTTTAAATTCCGTGGCACTTCATAGAGCTGGTGACGTTTTCGTATGTTTATTTAACCTACTTACTAGCTAAAAGTAGTAAACATAACGACTGTAAAATAAAAGGTTTCGGGAACTCACCTTGGTCTCATCCACAACAACGCGCGGTGCAGACTGACTCCGATGGTTACGGAATGTACTTCCATGGGTGGTTCTTTCACGACGTTTACTATGTTCACTGTTGGTCATATTGTGTATTTTGTCAGTGTTATCAGGCTGAGGTTCACCGGGGGCGCCTTCGTTCGAATCCGTAACATCACTCTCCGATTTTCGCTTTCGCAAAGGAGTTTGTTCTAGTAGGCTCTAAATAAGCGCAAAACACGGTTGATCGAAAACTCAGAAATCTGTCTGTCGGTCAAAATACGACAAACTCATAAGGGGGCTTCACAAACTTTCGTCAAAATTTAATTTGAAAAGTATATATTTGGGTCAAAATGTGTGGGAAAACGGCAGCGTCAAACGCAGTAAATATTTCACAGAGGAAACATATCAGGAATTACATGGACTGATTCAAGAGTTTGTACGGATTTTAAAAATTTCTTAACTGATGTTTTTTTTCTGTATATAGCAAAAAGTCGTCTGCTGATAAGCTTTCGTTTAAACTACTTAATCTTTTGCATGGGACAGGTCAGGTTTCACGCATTCTAGTAGGTCACCACATGAGGCGATATCGGGCGGGTAAACTCACGACAGCCAAATCTAAAAACACTAGAAATTATATGATTTTCACCCGGATAGTAGTCGCTAAATATTAAAAACCAATACTTAAAATACGGTAACGTCACATATAGTGCTGGCAACAGCTCAGAAGCCCCGTGCAGCTCTTGGAGTTAGCATTCAATCTGTTACCACTAGTACGGGTCATAGAACCGATTGCTCCAAAATATATGCAGACTTCGTTGTTATTGATTTCTATCCAGCTGGATCAGTCCGTTTAGTACTTCATGGCATTTTTAAACCATATAGACTTTTGTGTTCCCTATACCGTTTGTACTTTCGTGGGTTTGATCGCCTTTCATTAAGAGTTTTAACTAATGGCGTTGCATCAAAGGCACAAAAAAGCTTTGTGAAAATGGTACTGAATAAAGGGGGAAAATCTGTTTCTTATATAAGCCTGTCCTCACTGAAACATTTATTGGAAGCAGACTTCTAACTTGAATGGTCCACTTCGAAGTTTGTTTATCAGATATCGAGAAAATGGCCGACCTCCAAAGATTACGTTGGTTAGGGCACGTGTTACACATGTCACCAGATAGGTTGCCACGGTGAGCGATGTTCGCCGAGGCAGGTAGTGGATGAAAGAAAGCCAAGGGTGGTCAAACTAAGACCTAGCATGAGGGTATGAAAACCCTAACCAGGAGTCTGGGTCACGTAGGTCGCGTTAGGCTCCCTGGATGGGGACCTCGGGATGATCATGCCCGAATGGTTAGAGAAACTGAGTGATATAGCTGAGTGTCGTAAACAAGAGCATTCGTGCACTTTGTCAATTTCTCTGCAACATTAGTCCACTGAAATCCTAAATTTTCTCGTTGGTCCTACTTTCAACCTTTCCTGTCTTTCTCTTTATGTTCATCCAACTGGGCAGCCAAAAGACAGCAACCAAAGTCGACTCACGATAGTGCATGGTTAATAGTTGTACAAACAGCTGAACTGAACAGATGCATCAATGTNATTCAGCATCTTATTCCGCACCCCACTTACCAGCGGTTATCGTTCACCGGTTTGCACACCATCCATCAACAGAATTTCGCTCCCATCAGTGAGACTAATGTTACGTACACACGACTGATTTTGATGACCACTATCACAAAATTGGCCACAAAAGCTGTCGGTTCCTCTGCAAAATTAATGCAATGAAATCCTAAATTTTCTTTTCGATACCACTTTCAATCTTTCTTGTCTTTCTCTTTATGTTCATCCAAATGGGCAGCCAAAAGACAGCAACCAAAACCGGTGCACGATAGTGTATGGTTAATGGTTGTACAAACTGAACTGAACTGTTATTGTCCCAGTTAAAAATTGAAAATGAAGTTGCCAAAATGAATGTCGAAGGTTATTATAAGTAGTCGTAAGAGAAGAAAAGAGCCTAGCACTTACTCGCTTCAGAGCAATTTCTAGATCGGGATCTGTCAGATCGAAACGCCTCGGTGGTACGCGATTCCGTGGGCGTGCAAGCACCTCATCCGTCAGGTCACCGAGCATCAGATCGTCCAGCTGAGAGTAACTTGTTGCAACTGTACCGTTCAACGGTCCCCCGGTCTCTTGTCCCGCCACATGCGGAATGCGTTTCACGCGTGCGGCAATGGATGAGTGTAGCACCATCGCAGAGGATCGTGTATCGTCCACCGAATACGAATGAAATGACGTATACCAGCCAGCTGGTTCTTGATACAAACGTTCTGGAGTTTGAGATGGACTTACGATACACCAAGAAACACCATCTTCAGCACTGGTTGGTTTGATAAGATGCGATGGAATGAGGTGGCTAGATAAGGCGACATGGTTTTCGACGCCAATGCGATTGGATTCCGTGCAACGTCGTTTCAATTTAATACCACAATGGAGTGTTCCCCGTACTCGCGTACGCCGTAGTTTGGCAGCTGCGTTGATTAAAAAAACATAATTTAATTATAGAGCTATATAGTGCGCGACAGTGAGTGAGTGAGTGAGTGGGTGAGGGAGTGGGTGAGTGAGTGAGTGAGTGAGTGGGTGAGTGAGTGAGTGAGTGAGAGTGAGTGAGTGAGTGAGTGAGTGAGTGAGTGAGTGAGTGAGTGAGTGAGTGAGTGAGTGAGTGATTATCATTTGGTTATAGCAAAGTCATGAGAAGAAGCCCGGTTCAGGTTAAATTTTTAGTGCATGAAATGATGTACATTCGAATTTCCTAAATCATTCGCAGTATTTTATCTAAAGCAACCTTCCAAATAAATCACTGACATCGAAATTGCGTGTTAAGGACTTACGGGGATACTGCGCAGAAAGCAGTACTGAATCGATGATTGTGCCGCAATCAAAAGAATGACGTCGAACAAAAGCCACGTGATAACGTCCTTTTGGGCAAAAGCTGGATGTGGTGTGGACGGACTCGATCAAATTGGCATCAGTGGAAACACGTAAGCCAGACCAACGTAGCAACGATACCAGATCATTCGGTTCTCGATTTTCATTCTTTTCTTGTGTTTTTACCTCATTAGAATTGGTTTGTGAGTTCGCGTCATAAAGAACTTTAGAATACCAAAGTCGTGAAACTGTATTTCTTGGTTTTTGTAACTGATCCAAACAGATCCCCTCCTTCTGAAGGCGTTGAAGAATGTGTAAGCGATTGTACACACCACGGCTTATCACTGCGAAAGTGGGTGCTTTGTGATCTGAAAATTGAGCGTGGGAAACAGATAAAGGATCTGCGTAGGTGAAAAGATGTCCAATTACAGTGAGTTTCAAGTAAGAACAACGATATCTCGGAAGTACAAAATCCTCAGTTTAGCAAGGAACAGACCACAAATTACATATTTTTATCTTGCTTATTTATCTTCCGCATAAAAACCCGATTTAACTATTGATCACTGAATGCACGTGAGGAGCAGGAAATGAGGAGTACAAATTGAATACCGGTTTAATGAAATGGGGCTCAGTGATGGATGATTTAGTTCACGGACGGGTCGAGAACTATAATCGTATATTCTGCTAAATCATCGAATAACGGTGGATATATGTGTGTATGTGTATGTGTGAATGCTAAAAATCAGTGTACTGTTTGATTCGTGCCAAGATTTATTGTCAAAACAACGAATCCCTCACGCGGTGTAAACCCAGTTTCAGGTATTACAACCAATAACCGTGCACTTTCGTGCACCGGTTTTAGTTACTGTCTTTTGGTCGCCCATTGGGATAAAAGAGCAGAATCAAGATTGTAATATCAAGAGTAAATCAAAGAGAAAGGTAGAGAGTTTAAACAGACGGCGGTAGCAAGAATATTATGTGGATGCACCAGTGCCATTATTTGTGACACAGTTACATCACTCGGCGTCTCTAACCACCGGTGACCATGATCTTGGTGTCACTAACCAGAGAGCCGAAAGAAGCTGGTCTTCTGGACAGGGTTTTCATACCCACATGCAGGTCTTGGCATGATCGCCCTTAAATATTTTCCAACCGCTATCTGCCTCGCCAAGCATCGCTCGCCGTGGCAACCTATCTGGTGACATGCGTATTACATGCCCCAACCAGCGTAATCTATGGAGGTCAACTACTTGTTCCAGTGGACGACCGCGATTACCTAAAACTCTACGCCTAACCTCAGCATTGCTCGTCCGATTTCCCCACCAGACTCGTTCAATACTACATAGACAACGGCGTTCCAACACCGACAATCTATTCCTATCCTGTTCCCGTAATAGCTTAGTCTCTGCACCGTAGATTAGAACTGGTTAAACTACTGCAGCATACACTCCCCTCTTCACAGACAGACGGATGGTGCGGCGGCGCTGTAAATATCTCAAGTTGGCAAACGCCAATTGAGCCTTCTGTATGCATACCGACACTCCATCTGTGACGCTTCCGCCAGGTAAGATATAGCTGCCCTGATAGCAAAATTTGTCTACCTACTCTATTACTTCTTCGGTCAGTGTGAGGTTGAGGGGTAAACCAACAATCTTGTAGCAGCATTTTACACTTTGAAGGTGCAAAACACCTACCAAACATCGCTACACTAGCACTTAACCTATCCAGAAAAGGTTGCAACCTACCTGCATCTTCACTTGGTAGCACAATATCCTCTGCAAACTTCAGATCAGACAGTCTGCCGTCTGGGATAAAATCGATGATGCTATCCTCCCACGAGGACAGAGCTGTTTCCGGAATTAGATCGATGACAGTTAAATAGGAAAGGAGAGGGCAACCCTGACGAACACCAATTTCCGTGGTGTACTCGGGTGAAAAAGTTCCATAAGCTCGAATTCGACTTCGTCTGTTACCATAAAATGATCACAAAATCGAAATAAACTTCTCGGGCACATCCTTCAAGGAAAGGCAGTGCCAGAGTTTAGAGCGGTCGACTGAGTTGAAAGCCGCTTTCAGATCGAGAAAGAAATTATGGGTCTACGAAAGGAGTGTCTGTGTTCTAGCATTTGACGAAGAGTGAAGATGTGGTCGATACAACCTCGACCGGGTCTAAAACCAACCTGGTTATCACGTTGCACTCTTCACGAGCGGCAGACAACCGACGGAGTATGATGCAAGCGATAAGTTTAGAGGTAATGTTAATTAAACTAATTCCTCTGTGGTTTTCACAAGAGGACCTGTCGCTCTTGTAAATCGGTATGATCACCGATTCACACAATTCAGTTGGAACCTCTTCTCTCTCCCACACAGAGCCCAGGAGTTTTGTTAACTCTAAAACCAAGGCTGGACCTCCATCCTTAAAAACCGATGGGGATAGCCCGTTGGGGCCGGAAGCCTTATACATTTCAAGATAGCTTAATTCTCGGGTAACCTCTATTTCAGATGGAGGACTGATGTCAACTGGCAATATTCACCCAGTTGAAGCAGGTGTAGGAAGGTCTTGTGTCGATGAGGGCTAGCGGAACAAGGCCTTGAAATGTTCCATCCGTCGATCAAACGGCGTTGCTAAGCATGAATCAATGTGCCGTCAGGCTCCTTGGACCCGTAGCCCTAATTGAACGAAAAAGATTGCGACTATTACCGATAACCGCAGCCTTTTCCATCTCTCTACACTTTCCGACCCAACACTTATAGCGGTCATTCCTCAAACTCTTGATGAGCTGGCGCTTAATGGACTTGCGCGCTTGGTCGTATTTTGCATCAGAAGGAATGGCTTTTACCGAGCGTCCAGCAATGCAACCGAAGTCGGGGAGATCCATCGTTTTTTAGTTGATCGTGAGTCAGAGTTTGCTGTTGTTTCGATTGTCATTTGGCTCGCTTCCTTGATTGCCGTTCAGTGCTCACTGAGTCCTCCGGCTAATGATTGAGCTGAGAGACGATCTGATAGTTCCTCTTCGAACGCCGATTTGTAACAGTTGCTCACGCTGTATTGGGCATCCGTTTTCGGTGGCTTTTCTGCGTTTGTTTACTAGGTATACAGAGAATCTCGCTCGTAGCAGAGTGTGGTCCATGTCCACGGTTGTTGACCAGTAAGAGCGGCAATCTTCAATCGATCCTCGCCAGCGGTGGTTGGTGGAAATGTGGTCGATTTGAGTCCAGCGCTGTGAAGAAGTTGGCGGCTCCATGTAAGGTGGCGTCGTTTGTTGTGCGAGAATTTCGTGCTTGACAGAAACAGTCCGTGGTCAGCACAAAGTTGGAGTAGGCGTTCTCTGTTGTCAGTCCTGTTGGCTGGGGTTGAATGCGAACCGCCAAGTAACCTCTCTGATTCGTCCAGGGATATCACTTGAGCATTGAAGTCTCCAGTGACCACCACGATGTCCGTTGACCGAGCAATTCGGAGCAGTTGAGAGAGGTCCTTGTAGAATTCATCCTTCACTTCTGGCGAACTGCAATCTGTCGGTGCATACGCGGATACGACGAACAAGCATCGACGCTTCGTTCTGTAGCTGTTGACGCGTACTGAACCATCCAGACGTACGGCGCAAAGTCGGCTATTAACCGGGATTCAATCGAGAAGTGAACGCTCGGCCTTGACACTCAGCGCAATCCCAACACCAACAACACCGCGAGCTTTGGATGTCAAATCGCCTGACACACGGAGAGTGAAGCGTGAGGTAGAGGTTGGATCTGGAGAACGCAAGGAGATGATTGAAGTAGGGTCTTGTATGCGTGTTTCGGAGACACAGCATACATCCAAATGGAAGGTTTAAAGGATTCTAGCTAAGGCAGCTTGTTGACCGATCTGATAGAGTGTGCGGACATTGAATGCGTCTAAGTGGAAAGGAGATTTTGGTTTCAAAAATCTGATAGCCTCTGAGTAGTTGGCCTCATTAGTTGAATGCTGAGTGGTATCCGATGGGTGGCGCAAACAGAATACATCTCTTAAGGTATGGGAGTGAGAAGAGGAAATATACAGTTGAGAAAGACGGTTCTCCAAATGGGTACCTAAGACTTTTGCGAGCGGCATACTTCGCGGTTGCCCACACCGAAGGGGTTTTCCTTTGGGAACCCTAACCGGAGCCTTCGACTCAAAAGTCTGCCCCACAGGGTAGTGGGACGTAAATCCAACGCGGGAGCGTGAACGAAACTCCCGTGTGGGAGCTTCTAGAGACCTGTCACGCAAAGCCTTCGGTTTTCGGTTTAGTATGCTGTTCGCTGGTGTGTTCATTATCGGTCCGCTTTTCGGGATCGGCCCTTAGCCTCATGCACCCAATGAGACAAGCGGAACGTGGACGGAACAGCACCTTATTGGCTGGGGGCTGCCCAGCTTGGGCGGGCGGTAGCTGTCCAATGAAGTGCGAAGACCTTTCCCACCGTCGAGAGGAAGCCCCAGGTACCCCGCTCCTACGTCCGTCTAACGGTTTTTTTGACCGGTAAACTGCCCCTCACCGTGTTTATTTACTGGAGTGACCTCTCCAGCGGCGATGTGGATAGAAAAGGAAGCCAGGAGGTGCCCAAGCAGTTGGCCTTTGCCCAAGCGGCTTACTTGAGTTTAATCAACGTTATTCAGTATGGATATTCGTTCTGAGTTATTTGAATCGGAAATGCACCTAAACAAATAAATCGGGTATATCGCGAGATATTTGCACGAAACATGTATTGATAGAAACATATGAACAAAGACTTTCACAGCTGTGATCGAAGAACATTTCATCAAATGCTATCGTAAGCTTTCACATTTAATCAAGTTCCGGACACGTATCCTAATCAAATCATTTCCTCCTTCTGTTTATTGTATTCAGCTTCACTTTTTATTTTGTAGCGCGATCATTGTATGACGATAAATTTTTATTTGCGTTTGATTTTAAATGTAGCGGAAACACTTTACAATCATACTATAGCCAATCATATCGATTTACGTAGGTGGAGAACACGGGGGGGGGGGGGNTTCTTTGCTTAAGCGAGGACAAATTTGCGTAAACAGTATTGCTTCAGTTTCATCAATCTCTGAACCATCTATCAGAATTGTCAAAGATGCGCAATAAACACGCAGAGATGTATTTTATAAATAACGTTGTGTGCTCAGGAATCATGTATTTGAAAATGGCTGTGTGGGAAGAGATGAGAAAAACTTCAACAAGTTACAACTATTTTTTTCCATCTTCATAGAAGCCTTACACCTCGATAGCTATAGCATGTTTAATATGCGAGTTCATTGTTTCTGTATCCACTTTCAGCACTGATTGAGCTGTAAACGGTTGAAAGAAAGATATTGATGTATCAAGTATGTGACAATTCTATAACAT